CCCGGCCCCTCCCGCGGACGCTTGGACCTCGCTGCGCGTTTCTTCCCCTCCAGACCCCCTGCAGACCTTGTCTGGGACTTCCCGGCGGTCCCGCAGAGCACAGCACCCTCCGCTGGCCAGGAGCTCTGCTGCTCGGCTGCGACCGTCTCCCCGCTGGAGCAGCCCCTTCCCCCGGCCGAGGTCTGCGGCTGTAGGGGCAGGGAGTCAAGACGCAGCCCGTGCCGGCCTTAGAGACCCTGCGGCAGCGCCGCCACATCTCTTCCCGGCTTTTCGGGAACACGCCCGGTAGTCCATCCTCAGAGGCTCCTGCCTTTCCATCCTAGCACACCCCTGGGGGCTCGCACTCTGCCCCCGGTTGCTATGCGCTTCCAGCCACGAGGGCTCTGCGGTTCGGGAGAATTCCGCCAGAGAGCGCGTTCGGAGGCGGGGTGTGTTTAGACAGGTATCCCGGTGGGATTGCCTGAGCGAGAGGAGGGGGAAAGTTAGACTTCACACGGCCTGGGGTTTTTCCTTTCGTGCAAGCACTCGCAGCCCTGGCACGGAGCCTCCGAGGGCACGCGTGTGTTACAGCATAGTCCAGCGATTGTTCACATGATGACCCTGAGCGCTCAATTAAGCAGCTTACATTATGGTCCTCATACCTTGTTTAAGAAGACAAGGAAGTGGGTTAATCCATTTTAGAAAGATTTCTCATGGAAAATTATCTTTTAAAGCTTTCCTCGTGTACTTGAAGGAGTAAATCATGATCTCTAAGGACTAGTAGTCATTAAGTTTAAGCACCCCTAAATATCGATGTTGAAAAGAAAGTCGAAATTTGAAGTGCTGGTTTACTTAAAAGTAACTTTTTGTTTATTTTTCCTTTTTAACACTATTGAAAGTATAATGTGCTTCATGCTGTTGAAACAGAAATTGAAGAAGATATAACCCCTGCCCTCTAGTAACTTACACTATTTAGGAGGGAATATTAGATGTGTACACTGGTAAGGAAAAATTGTAAATAACAAAATTGGGGTTATTAAGAAGGTCTCGATGG